ACCAAGTGCCCCAATGACAATGGATATCACTGTTACATGTTTCATCCATAGCTGTGTAGTTTCGATGGCCAGGTCGCGATATTTCATGATTTTTTCCAGTTCTTTTTCTTCGACTCTGGCATCTCCTGGTACCGCGATGTCAATAAATTGTACGTTTCGGTTTTCGACAACTGCGCTATCTGGCCGTGTTGTGTTCCAAATGACGATCTGTCTGTATTCGAAAGTCCCACAAGATCTTCACCTTCTCATTTTCTATAACTTTTTCCGCTTTATGTTCCCATGACTTTTTGGTTACAAGTAAATCGTATTGTTTTCTATAATGACCAGTGGATTAATTTAGCAACTTGGTCGTGTCTAACTTTGTAATCATTTTGTGCAATTTTGCTGTATTCACATATTAAATGTGAAGCAGTTTCGACTTTGTTATTGCACAGTTTTTTGCAGTTCCACTGGTGTTATTGCAGGAAACTGCAATTTCTTGATGTGTTTTGTAAAATTCTTGGATATGGTACCAAGTGCCCCAATGACAATGGGTATCACTGTTACATGTTTCATCCATAGCATAGTAGTAGCAGTAGTAGTAGTAGTAGCAGCAGTAGTAGTTATTAGTTAATTTTCAATTCAATTCACAGTATTATTGCAATTAATATCAATATACAATTCTGGAATGAAGGTCTTTGAAGGGAAAGGAAGAGACCTTAACTTCTGTAGTTCCCAAGAAAATACGGAGAAACCCTGGAGTCAAAGCAGGCTGATTGGGGTTAGATCAAATCTCCAAGCTGACACTTTCCAACTGAGCTGGGAAACTAACCTGGCATTTTCTAACCATCAAGAAGAGATTGGGACAGATGGGCTGGATAAGTTGACTTGGTCAACTTGACTCAGCAAAGACAGAGAGATGAGCATATTTGACTACAGGTAGGCCTCCACTTATAACAGTTGGTTTAGTTACTGTTCAAAGTTATAATGGCACTGAAAAAAGTGTCATGATCATTTTTCATACTTACAACCCACTGCAGCATCCCCAAGGTCACATGATCAAAATTCAGATGCTTGGCAATTGACTCATATTTATGACAGTTGCAGTGTCCTGGGGTCATGCAATCACCTTTTGTGACCTTCTGACTAGCAAAGTCAAGTGGGAAACCGGATTCACTTCCCAACCGCGTTACTAATTTAACATCTGCAGTGATGCACTTCATGAGTGTAGCAAGAAAGGGGGAAAATTTACTTTACAAATGTCTCACTTGGCAACAAAAATTTTGGGTTCAATTGTGGTCGTAAGTCAAGGACTACCTGTATAACTTCGCCCCAAACATCCGTTATGGAGGAAACTGTTTAGATGCTAACCTTGGATGAACCAGGTTTAGGTTGAGGTTGAGTTTGCCTAATAAGCCGAACCGCCACTAGATTGCCATATTCTATCTTAGTATCAGTGGTAGTGTTGTGGTCCGCCAGCAGCCTGCAGAGCTGGCAGCGGAGTCGGACAGCCATGAGGCTGAGGAAGAACATGGGCCAATCCTGGAGGCTGGAAAAGGACCAGATGAGGACTCTGTGTCAGAGGCAGAGATGAAGCCAGGGCCATCGGGGAGTGAGGTGCAAACTCTGGAGCCTCCAGAGGCTGACAGCAGAGAGGCAGAGGAACAGGAGGAGCCTGTTCCTAGTGCATGCATGAGAAGAGCAGCCAGAAGGCAAGAGCAACTAAAGCAAAGAGGACGACTCAGGAGTAGGGCCAAGAGATGATTGGCCCTTCTCCTAAGGCTTAAAACAGACCAGCAACGGCGTTTGGGCTTTGCCGAAAAACAACGTTGGTAGCTTCGTCTTCTTCTTCGTCTTGTATTTATTTTTGTATCTGTGACTTCTGAACGTTTGCCAAGAAAGGCCTTTGGCAGTTTGCCTAATTGGACCAAGGTTTGCGATAGGACTGAGGAATTTGTGTTGGGAGGAATTTGCTTTAATTTAGTTGAATGACGCTGGGAATGAAGTAATTCTCAGCTGTTCGAATAAAGTTTGTTTTTTCATGGACTGATTTTCCTACTACTTACTTGGGCCTGGGTCACAACAGGTAGGTTCAGACTGGTTCGCAAGAACCGGTAGTAAAATCGGCGGGAGGCTCCACCCACCGCCCCAGATATCATCATAGGCAATCTGTGCAGAAGCTTGGCGCACGATCCCATTGCAAACTGGTAGTAAAGGTAAGTAGAACCCACCCCTGCTTAGTATGCTAGGCAATATCATTCTCCATAGCTATTCAATGGATCGTGTGCCCCATTCTCTAGAAAGTTGGCCTGTGTAAACCATATTTAAGTTAACCATGGGTATGCTGTATGTATGGGTGATTTAATTGAACTAGACTCAGTCTAGGTCTAGGAGCTGATGTAGAGACTAAAATGAGAAGAACTCCACTACATGCACCTGGTCTAAAACGTGATGTCAGATGCTTGACATCGTGCGCAAACAATTAGCACAGAGGTGAAATTTACTTACCTTCCCTACTGGTTCACCAATGCGTGCGCACGCTCCACTTACATATGCCATCATCTGCACATGCGCAGAGGCTTTAAATGTTGCAAAAAAGCAACATCATGACGTCTGCGCAGATGGGCAGAGCCTCCCGCAGCCGCCACTACCGGTTCACCCCCAAACTGGATCGAACCGGCTGGATTTCACCCCTGAATTAGCATGATTTGTTGTCATGTTACAAGTGGGATAATTTGTTTCCACCCGTGCTTTTGTAACAGACTCCATAGCTCCCCATGGGAGCTGAGCTTCCAGAAGGAAAATGGGATATTAATGTAATACATTGATCATTTTAGACCATTTCAACTGTCCTGGGTTCACCCCAAAAATACTGCAATGGAACTACAGTGAAGCAGCAGTTTTCCAAGGAGGGAGCACATTAGATTGATTGATGTCAGGCCTGGTCCAAGAGTGATGTAGAACAATCTTACGTAGCCAAAGTTCAGTTCTTTATTTGCTCATATCATATAGACAGAATCTTGCCAGACTAAACTTATACTACCCTAACCTAAGGAATATATCCTGGGAGCTTTAGAGAGGGGCTATCCTAAATCCCTTCCTCTTTCTCCGGTCCAGCTCCAGGCTGTGTTGCCTTGTCTTATCTCAGTCTTAGGCTGCATCAACAGAAGGATAGTATCATGGTCATGTGAGGTGTTAGTACCGTTTCATTCTGCTTTGGTAAGGTCACCTTTTGAGACATTGAGTCTAGTTTTGGTCACCACAATACGAAAAAGATGTTGAGACTCTAGAAAAGGTACAAAGAATCATATACGTGATTAGGGGTCTGTAGCAGTGGTGAAATCTAAAATTTGTTACTACTGGTTCTGTGGGCGTGGCTTGGTGGGGGGGGTAATGTGACTGGGTGGGCATGGCCAATTTTTTTTTTTTTTTACTTTTAAAACCATTTTTTCTACAACCTCTTCAGCGAAGAGGTTGTTAAAAAATGCTTTCAAAAGGCTCTGACGATCCCAGCTGAGTTGCCTGATCAGCAGAGGCTTTTTAAAAAATGCTTTTAAAAGTAAAAAAAAGCCTCTGATGATTGTGCAGCTCAGCTGGGTATCGGGGCAGGGGGGGGGCAGGGATTTTCGCTACTGGTTCTCCGAACCACACGCCTCCATCGCTACCAGATCGGGTGATCCGGTCCGAACTGGGAGCATTTCACCCCTGGTCTGTAGGCTAAAACATATGATGTATGTTTAATCTAATGAAGAGAAGGACTAGAGGTGACATGACAGCAGTCTTCCAATGTTTGAGGGGCTGTCACAGAGAAAAAAGGGGTTATTCTCCAAAGCACCGGAAGACAAGACAAGAAGTAACAGATGGAAACTTATCAAGAGAAGATTCAGCCTAGAACTAAGAAGTTTCCTTACAGTGAAAACAATTAACCAGTGGAATGGCTGATCTTCAGAAGTTGTGTGTGCTCCATTGTTAAGACGTTTTTATAAGAAGAGGTTGGATAACCAATTTTCCAGAGGGTAATAGGGTCTCCTGCTTGAGCAGGGGGTTGGATTAGAAGACCTTCAAGAGTCCCTTCCGACTCTTATTATTCTGTAACTCTTCCTTGGACTGTGCTCGTTCCTTCCTGGAAAACCACCGTTTCACTTTTGTCCATCCCACCACCTTCCACTTCATAGGCAGAATCCATCACAAATACTGGGGTGCTACATTGTCTTAATTAGAAATAAGTACCGGTACTACTTTGTCCCACTTCCCAATTAAGCAGTTCCCCATGGAGGAAAAAATGTCCTCTCCATCACTTTGGCTCCATCCCTCCAGATTTCAACAGGGCCAGTTTTCAAACATCTTGAAAATCTGGTTTTTCCTGAATCGCACCCAAAATCAGAACATCCACTGAGACCACTTGAAAATGGAGTTTACTACTATTCTGTGCGTGCTCTGTTGTTCTCCTGGCAAACTTATCTTTCCGGGGCAACCCTTCCCCTGCCCATTGTCCAATGTAATCCAGTCACCGGAGCTGTTGTGACCCGTCAGTGGCCGGTGCAGCTAGTAGCTGATTCCGACAGCGAGGAGGCTGTTGTGGTGCTGTGCCAGCAGCCTGTGCAGCTGGCACTCAATTCGGATAATGAGGAGGCTGGAGAAGATGTGGTGCCAGAGGCGGGGATTCAGCCAGGGCCTTCAGAACCTCCAGAAGCTCCTTTAAGTGAAGAGGAAGAAGGGGAGGAGCCTCTTCTCAATGTACGGGCGTGCAGAGCTGCCAAAAGGCAGGAGTGGCTCCTCAGGAGGAGGTCTCCTCGAGAGTAAGGCTTGGGGCTAATTGGCCACTCCCTTAGCCTATTTAAGGAGGAACGCCGACTGAAGCAATTTGCAGGGAACAACTTCGTTCACATACCTTCATGTCTTGTTTTGCTTATCGTATCAGCTTCTTGCAAATTGCTTCTGGGCATTCTGCCAATCACAGTAAGCTTTCAGTATTATTTTTTGAATTCTTGGCGGCTGTTAATGCAGTTAATTAACAGCCATTGTTGTAAAAAACTGGTTTATTTAGTAAAGTAAGGTTTGAACAGACTTTGTGCTGCGTTCTTTGGGGTCCACAGCTGGGGCAGAACAGGAGCCAACAAAAACACAACTGCTACATTCTCAGATGAATAGTCATACCTTCTCAGAAACATCACATTGGCTGTTTCTAACATGTTTCCCTGAAAATAAGACCGGGTCTTATATTTTTTTGAACCGTGAAATAAGTGCTTGGCCTTATTTTCGGGGATGTCTTATTATTTTGGGGTGCGTGGAGCAAGGGGGGCTCCTCTTGTTGTCTCCCTAACCCTAACCAGAGGAAATGGCGGGGATCAGCTGCGCATGCGTTTAAATAATTTCAGGGGGGGCTTATTTTCGGGGGGGGCTTATTTTAGCGCATGTGCTCAAAAGCTTGATTGGGCTTATTATCCGGGAAGGTCTTATTTTCAGGGAAACAGGGTATTACAAGCTTTTACTCAGTGCAAAGCTTCCTTTTTGATAAACTCTGGTTCAGCAAGCCACCGGGTCAATTTTCCTGAGCAATCCTGGCCTGTTTGGGAGACTAGCATTGGCTTGCACTACGGGACTCCCCAAAGACATGAAAATCGGTCTGGAGGACATTTGAAGGAAGGCGTACTTCTTGAAAGGGTTGCTGGCCACCAACGAAGATGGTGAAAGTGCCAGGCTCCAACCACCACTGTCCAGCCCATACGGCTCTCTGGCTGAAAGGTAACAGGAATGCCACTTTGGCAGCTTGTCCCTGGGGTATCGGCAACCGGCGGAAGCCAACCAGCTGCCAGCGGGGCATAGGCACAGATGCTTGTCCCCAGCGGAGGTAGAGCTGCACCACCTGCAGAGAGGGGGAAAAATGTTAGAAGTGAAGAGAAAGTCATCATGAGAAGAAGACATCAGCAGATTCTTCACACCTTCAAAGCATATTCTTACTTCTGGAGCCTTTTCAAGGATGGAGAAATCTTTTATAAAGACTGTCGCCGATTTATCCAGGGCCCTGAATCTATATGAATGACCCCTGTATCCTTCATCTACCCTTCTGAAAATTAGGAATCCCTGCTCGTTTGACAGGTTCCTTGAGATTAGAGACAAGCATCCGTAGGATCCAATTTGGAAGCATGCAATGCACCAACAGTGTCCATTTTTTTCTCTCCTCCTCTTTCTAGCAGGGGGGACTCTATGAATCTTGGCAGTGGTGGAAATGCACAAACTTCAACAGCAGTTTCTAAGATTCAAAGAACAATTATTTGCACTGTTATTTGCATTTTAATCCCTGCCTGACTGTGATTCTCTATCAAATAACAGGCTGCTGCGAATATTCTGCACTTGAAGCAAAACCCACTATATCAAGAAGAAATATCAAAATATGTAAATCAGCTGGACAAGTATTCCTTATAGAATAGAATAGAATAGAATAGAATAGAATAGAATAGAATAGAATAGAATAGAATAGAATAGAATAGAATAGAATAGAATAGAATTCTTTATTGGCCAAGTGTGATTGGGCACACAAGGAATTTGTCTTTGGTGCATACGCTCTCGGTGTACATAAAAGAAAAGATACATTGGTCAAGAATCATAAGATACAACACAATGATAGTCATAGGGAAACAGTCAATATAAATCTTAAGGATACCAGCAACAAGGTTGCTTATTATCATTAGTAGTAGTAGTAAAAACAAATCACTATTCATAATTTATTAGTAACATTATCTTATCTGATCCTGTTTCAGCAGCTTTGCAACCTGATCTCAAAAAAACCTCTTATTTCAGCAAAGTCAAAATTGGCTTCTGTTCTTGGTTCAATGCTGTTTTTCCTGGGAGCTGTGAACAAAGACCTGGGGACTGAAAATCAACCATCATTTGGGATTCATAACCCCTGTGAGATGTCACTGCAACTTACTCATTTCTTAAAAACCTGTATTCCACCATAAGTGGGTCTTATAAATACATACAAATATCCTTTGGATGTTGGGTTTTGAGGTCAACTGCACAAAATTTGTCCATCCGTAGAGATGCTTTCAGCTCTTGCTGGTCAACTTGACTCTCCATCCTCACAGCCTTTGGACCTCGAGTTTTTACTCATCTCAAGCAATATCTCATCCCTTTTATCCCACCCTCTCTGCCCCCCACCGGTCTTTGCATGCAGACAAGCAACAGAATTGCCTCACCTCTTCACCATCTCTGGATCCAACGTTCTCCACCACCACAGAGATGCTAAGATTACCACAAACGGGCACTTGGTCAGCACTCACTACCAGATCCCTGTACTGGAAGGTGGTATACGAGAGTCCGTAGCCAAAGGGGTACATCGGGGCCTCTTGCCCATAGTAGCGATACGTCCTGCCAATCATTGTGTAGTTCTCCATTGGGGGTACCTGTGGTTGAGGACAAGAATAGCTGAAGGAGATGGAAAGATTTGGGGCTATATGTTTATGGAGATTCTCAGTCATCCAGGTCATGGTTGGTCCCAGAGAGACCTCTACTTTTTCAGAGGCAACTGGACTTCGTTTTTCCTTGAAGATGTTTTGCTTCTTGCTCAAGAAGCTTCTTCAGTTCTGACTGAATGGCGGAGAATGGAAGGAAGCTTCTTGGATGAGAAGTGAAATGTCTTCAAAGAGAAACGAAGTCCAGTTGTCTTTGAAAAACCACCTTTGGGAAATTTGGGGCTATAGGAAGCAGGATCTAGGAGCAACTTGAGGCACTGTCCCTGCCCAGCCTTTATCGGTTAACCACCCTTGAATAAGTGCTCTAAATTGTCCCGATGTCAGCTTATTTTTCCGTAGTTAAGGTTTAATTACCGATTTGTTTTTCCTTGCTTTTATTTTAAACGGTGTGACAGCATTATTTCGCTGCATACTTTAAAAACAGTCCTTTCTATTCAAGAGGCAGTTAATGGACTGTAGCTAATCCCCCATTGGAGACCCACAAAAACCTAATTCAATGGGTTGAATCTGCATAAACTTTTAATTAAAATTGCCAGCGGCCTTTGTGGAATCTGACACTCTTCAAAGGAAAGACTGCAACAGAATCCACTCTGGGAAAAGGACTCTGCCGAATAGCACACCGGACTTTAATCTTACATGATGTATTTTCTGGTCTATATTTAGAAAAGTCAAGTCTCCTTCAAGTCAAACCCAACTCTGAAGAACTTCATAGAGTCTTTTATGTAGTTTCCCCGGCAACAATGTAGAAATGTGTTTTTTTTTTTTACTGCCTTCTTTCAAGATGATGTATGAGTTCCCAGTTCAGTCTGGAATTCTTGGGTGATCTCACATTCCAACGGTAATCCCATCTGATCCCCGTTATGTTTTTTAACAGATTAACAGAGTTGGAAGGGACCTTATAGGTCATCTAGTCCAACCCCCCACTCAAGCAGGAGTCCCTACATCATTTCTGACAAATGGCAATCCAATCTTTTCTTGAAAGTCTCAAGTAATGAAGCTCCCACAACTTCTGAAGGCAATTTCTGTTTCATGGGTTGATTGTTCTCACTGTCAGAAAGTTCCCCCTCATTTCTAGGTTGAATCTCTCCTTGGTCAGTTTCCATCCATTATTCCTTGTCTGGCCTTCAGGTGCTTTGGAAAACAGCTTGACCCCCTCCTCTCTGTGGCAGCCCCTCAAATATTGGAACACAGCTATCATGTCTCCCCTGGTTCTTCTCTTCACTAGACCAGCCAGACCCAATTCCTGCAACTGTTCTTCGTATGTTTTAGTCTCATTCCCTAATCATCCTGGTTGCTCTTCTCTGCACTCTTTCTAGAGTCTCAACATCTTTTTTATAGTGTGGTGACCAAAACTGGATGCTGTATTTTAGGTGTGGTCTTACCAAGGCTTTATAGAGTGGTACTAGGACTTCACTTGATTCTGATTGTATCCCTCTGTTAATGCAATTTAGGATTGCATTGGCTTTTTTGGCTGCCATTACGGTCAAAGGATCTGTTTCAGCCCTGTCCACCTTGAAAAAGGCCAGCACATTTACAGGTGGGCTGGGGGGGGGTGTTCTTGGAACATTTTGGAGACTTTGGAGCATGGCCCTATAACCATGCAAATTTGCTCTGGCCATTCCAAGAAATGCTAGTGTTCTGGTTAGAAGGACTCTCACATGGTTAACTTTCAAGGAGGAGGAAGAACAAATCTCTTCTGTCAGGTTTTCTGTCTAATAGACCTGGGGGCAGGGGCTGCTATTTTTAGACATTACATGTGTATAAATCTTATGGATTTGTCTTCTCTTTTTATTTCTTATATGCAGGTTGTTTTTCTGATTTTTACTGTGTTGATTTCTAATAAGGAGACGTCTAGAGGCTTATGACTGGAGTGGCACATCACTGCAATAAAATTAAAATAGAGTAGAGTAGAGTAGAGTAGAATAGAATAGAATAGAATTAGAATCTTTATTTGGAATGGAATGGAATGGAATGGAATAGGAATAGAAACAGAAACAGAAACTGAAATTGAAATAAAAGAATAGAAATAGAGAATAGAATAGAATAGAATAGAATTAGAATCTTTATTTGGAATGGAATAGGAATAGGAATAGGAATAGGAATAGGAATAGGAATAGGAATAGGAATAGGAATAGGAATAGAAACAGAAACAGAAACTGAAATTGAAATAAAAGAATAGAAATAAAGAATAGAATAGAATAGAATAGAATAGAATAGAATAGAATAGAATTAGAATAGAATTAGAATCTTTATTTGGAATGGAATGGAATGGAATGGAATGGAATAGAAACAGAAATTGAAATAAAAGAATAGAAATAGAGAATAGAATAGAATAGAATAGAATTAGAATAGAATTAGAATCTTTATTTGGAATGGAATGGAATGGAATAGGAATAGAAACAGAAATTGAAATAAAAGAATAGAAATAGAGAATAGAATAGAATAGAATAGAATTAGAATAGAATTAGAATCTTTATTTGGAATGGAATGGAATGGAATAGGAATAGAAACAGAAACAGAAACTGAAATTGAAATAAAAGAACAGAAATAGAGAATAGAATAGAATATAATTAAATAGAATGAAATAGGAAAGAATGAATAGAATAGGTAATAAAATAAAATAAAATAAAAAATAAAATAAAATAAAAAATAAAATAAAATGCATAAATAAATAAACAATTCCAAAGTCTTGGTACATCACTTAGATATGAGTGTATGCTGAATAAAACCAGAAAATACTTTTTGATTATGTACCTTCCAGGACTCTTCTGTCTAAAATTAGGCTATACAGGTAGTGCTTGACTTACAGCAACTTGTTTAACGACCATCTGAATTTACGATGGCACTGAAAAAAGTGACTTACAACCAATCATTGCATTTACATTGCAGTATTCCTGTAGTTAGGTGACTGCAATTTAGGTACTTGGCAACCAAACTCATATTTGTGACCGTTAAAACATCCCGGAGTCACATATTTGCCCTTTACAATCTTCTTGGCCAGTTTCTGGCAAGCAAAGTCAATGGGCAAACCTGGATTTGCTTAACGGCTATGGCCAAAAAGATGGTAAAATTGGATGACTTCCATCAATGACTGTGATGGAAGTTCCAGCTCCAATTGTGGTTATTAAGTTAAGGACTCCCTGTAGGTTCTTTTTCGTTGTTTTCTCAAGGGAGGGAAGATTTAGCTATTTCCTCCATGTTGAGTGCCACAGTCCAGGAAAGAGGCACCATTCCCCATCCCAGCCATACCTGGTCCATTCCTGCTGGCCATGTAGCTGGCAGCCTACCGGCAGGATTTGCCCCTTTAGCACCCACCAACATCTTGGCCAGAGCCAGTCCTGTGGTCTCAGCAGGAAAGAAGCAAGCCACGATTGCCCCCACGCCATCCTGTTCCTTGGCCCAGCTGATATCCAAAGGGCCGGCGTTGAACAGGAGCAGGATCAAAGGACGGCCGGCGGCTGAAATGAAAGGCCCCATTCAGCTCATGAGGAGACAAGTTGCGATCTGTGCGTCCCTCACAGCAGTGGTGGGATGCCCCCGGTTTGGACCGGTTCACAAGAACCGACAGTAAAACTGGCGGGAGGCCCCGCCCACTGCCCTGGATGTTGTCATCGGCGATCTGCTCATGCGCAGAAGCTTCTGCACATGCGCAAAAGGCGCGTGCACAAACGAAGCAAGTGAGCGAGCGTGCACGTGATCCCATTGCGAACCGGTAGTAAAGGTAAGTAGAACCCACCCCTGCTTCACAGGCGATGTTTTCCACATATGTGGACTACTGTACCCCTCAGCCCCAGCCATCAGGCAGAGGGAGAGCCAAAAACTGCTGACCCTGGGAACTGCCTAACACCATCAAGTTCCAGATGAGCATCTCATCCTGGGCACTCTTTTTTTTTTTATCTATTACCATCTGGCAGACGGTACAGGATAATAAAAACAAGGACAAATAGGCTGAGAAACAGCTTCTATCCCAGGGCAATAACCACATTGAATTCTACGGTATAGTGCAATATCGGGTTTTCAATTTCAATTATATAGAATGTAAAGGATGTATGTTTGTGTTTTTGTTTTTTTTTTAAATTTGATTTATATGCCGCCCTTCTCCGGAGACTCAGGGCGACTTACAATGCGTTAAGCAATAGCCTTCATCCTTTTGTATATTTATACAAAGTCAGCTTATTGCCCCCCAAAACTGGGTCCTCAATTTACCTACCTTAGAAAGGATGGAAGGCTGAGTCAACCTTGAGCCTAGCGAGATTTGAACTTGCAGTAATTGCAGGCAGCTGGTGTTAATAACAGGGTGCTTTAGACCACTGTACTACCAAGGCCCTTTTTAATTTTATAGTTATAATGTACACTGAAGACAGCATTTAATTTCGTTGTACCATGCGCAATGACAATAAAGTAAAGCAAGGCAGAGAGCATGCTTTCATGAATAAGATCCATGGGTGGTAATAGCAGACACAGGTAACTTACAGGTAAGCAACCCGGGGTCCAAAGGATGCCCCTAGCCTTGCCTTTTCGACCCTGATCCCAAGATCATGCAGCTAATATCTGAGAGTAAAATCCAATCATTATCATGTAAAATTCTGCCTTTTTTGGACCAAGGAGGTATAAAATAGGAATCGTGCAATGGTTTTTCTAAAGTAACAATTATTATCAACATTAAAAATATTAAGAAGTTTATAATACTGGTTGAGTAAAGTTCAAATCCTACTAACTACAGGGACAGTATTCACGTAGTTTCTCTTAAGAGTAAGAGAAAGTGCCAGATTGTTCAGCTTCACATTCTACCCTACAACCCTAGAATCCCTCTGGGGCCTCCCATCTAAGAACTAACCTGGCCTGATCCTGCTTAGCTTTTCAAGATCAGCCAAGGTCCACTAGGTGCTACCACCCAGTTGGGCCATAATAATTCAACCAGACCCTAAAATGTGGTCCAAGAAGGCCAAAATGCTGGGCCCATCTCTTCTAGTGATGTCACTAGGTCATCTGCAGGCTTCTTGAGAGTCCACCACTGGGAAAAGAGAGACATAAACTCACCCCAGGCCACAGATGACTGTAGAAGATCCAGTTGATGTCTGGGCAAAGACAAGTTCTTGCGGTCCTTGAATTCGGACTCCAAATCAATTCCTGAGAGGAAGGAACAGAGAGTGTGTGAAAAGGTCCCCTTTGCTGCTCTAATGTTCTATCAGAGCTATCCAATCTCTATGCGGGATTTTTTTTCTGGGAAAAATAAAAGATAAAGGAGATACAGAATACTATGCTACATGGAATAGATCCTATCAATGGTTAGAAACACGAGTTAGAAGTTGGAATGTGAAAGAATCCGATTGGGTGGACATGGAAAGAGATACTATGTATGTATTAGAATGTAGGTATTAGAATGATAGATTAGTTGACATTTGAGAATATGATGGTCAAAAATAACTAATCAGCTAAATGTTGGAAATGTTTTCAATTGCCGGGTTCATATTATCATATGTGGTAGACATGTATAGAAGCCAAAATTATTGGGTTAGAATACAGGCATGGTTAGAGGAAATGTTGCACCAACGTATAGAGTTAAAACTAGAGGTATTTTTATTGGGTATATTATCGGAGAAATATAGCAAAGAAGATACATATTTGATTATTTGTTTAATAACAGCGGCGAGAATTGCATTTGCACGAAAGTGGAAGACAGAAAAAATCCCATCAGAAGGAGAGGTAATAAAGAAGATTTTAGAATGTACAGAAATGAATAGGTTAACATTGAGAATAAAAGATAAAGAGGAATTGGTGTATTTCAAGACATGGGGACGGTTTTATGTATGGTTAGAAAAGAAATAAGAATAAAAGATTATAGAGAAATAAATTAGATAAGATATAAGTAAATGAGAGAGAAGACAAACAAGAAATAGAAACTCAGAAGACACCTGTGTAAATGGAAAAGGGGAAAGGGGGGGAAGAAAGAAAATGTTATTATATATATGTACATGTATATGTGTGAATTTAGTAAAATGAAAAAATAATTGAAAGAAAGTAAAAATCGGGATTGCTCGAATACCACTTTGGAAAATACTAAATTGAAAATGAATACAACACTAGAGAGAGAATGGAGAGGGATAGAGGAGAGGAGAGAGGAAGGAGAGAGAGGGAAAGAAGAAAGGGAAAAGGAGAGGAAGAAAGAGAGGGGAAATAAGAGTAGGAGAGAAGATTAGAAGGGAGTGTGGGGGAAAGGAAGGGGAAGTAGAGAAGGAGTTGAGAGGACAAAAGAAGACAGTAGAAGAGTAGATGGAAGAAGGGAGGGAAAGGAAAGAGAGGAGAGGGAGAAGGACTGTTGTAAAACAAAGGAGATGAAATGGTAGAAGAGCAACCCCAAATATACTTAAATTGTTTAGGATGAAGATTGTATTAGTATGAAAGTTAAAAGAAAATATGTATGTTAGATAAGAAGCTGTACATTTAAGATATGTGTATGAGAACAAAAAAAATAAAAAAACTTTTTTTAAAAAAAATAACTGTATAACACTAGCACTGTTTAAAATAGTAATATATGTTATTTGTTTTTACTTTTGTTCCATGGCAAGTGGAATGCCAGGACAATTGCACTGTATTCAATATATTTATATGTAAACAATAAAAATATATTTTAAAAAAAAGAAAGAAGCTTCTTCAGTCCTTTAAGGCAGTGGTCCCCAACCTTTCCAGCTTGGCGATCCAGCCTGGTGTGTGTGTGTGTGGGGGGGGTGAGTGGCAGGCACATGCGTGTGTGGTCTTTGCTCAAGCAAGTGGAACTTTGCGTGCAAGCACCCTCCGCTCACATGAGTGAAACTTCATGCACATGCGGTTTCCCATCTCTCTCGTGGCCCAGTTTCAAGCAGGCCATGGCCTGGGAGTGGGCCGCGGCACGAGGGTTGGTGACCCCTGCGTTAAGGCAGTTCCTCAGCCCTTTAAGGCAGGGGTCCCCCAACCTCTTGGCTGTGGCCCACTACTGTACCACGAGCCATTCAGAACCGGGCTGCGGAAGTGCCATGCGTGTACTTTCATGTAGTCCCACTCGTATGAGCAGCGGGCAAGCACATGCGCTGCTCGTGCCAATGGGGCTGTGTGAGTGCGTGCGGGGGCTTGCTGGCTGCTTGTATGGAACCATCCCCTCCCCCTCACTGGTGGAGGAAGCTGGAAAGGTTGGGGAATTCTGCTTTAAGGCAACTGGGTTGTTTTTTCTTTAAGATGTTAAAAAAAATAATCAGAAAGCCCAGTTGTAGGGGTGGGGTGCTGGCAGTTCGCAGGGGTTCGGGAGAACCTCTAGCTAAGATTCTGTGCAGTTCGGAGAACCCACAAATCCCACTCCTGGCTGGCCCCGACCACCCCACCCCTCCCCTCCCAGGAGTCCCCACGTGGCTCGTTTTGGATGCAGGTAAGTGCAGGGCGCACGTGGAGGCTCAGGGAGGGCAAAAAATGGGTCTCCCTGAAGTTCAGGAAGGCTGGAAACGGGCCAGAGGGCCTACGGAGGGCTTATGGAACCTGGGGAGGCCGTTTTCGCCCTCCTGGAGGCTCAAAAAAAGCCTCCGGAGCCCGGGGAGGGCAAACCCCCCTCCCTCCGCCATGGTGCAGGAGGCCGACTAAGCCATGTCCACCTAGCAACCAGGCAGAGAACCTCTTGGTAAAATTTTTGAAGCCCACCCCTGCCCAGTTGCCTTTAAAATGAAATCACCTGTGAGATGACCACAACCTCAATGAAAACAGAGGGAGATCTCTCTGCCCACCAAAGGAACAAGGATGGAGAAAGCATCTCAGGAAGGGATACTCTCTAATTCTCTGGAAAGTCAAGTCAAGGGAGAAATGCTTTCAAGCTTGCAAGACTCTGTTACTATAACCTTCCACTTCTTGAAGGGCTGGCAGAAACTCTGCATATTTTTTAGGCCCAGCTCTTACCTGTCCCAAGGCACACAACCACAACGTCTGCTCCTTCCACTGCAGCTTTCACCTCTTTGGGATAATACACGAGACATTTCGGATCCTCACATCCAAGGGCACAGGTGACATTGGCTGAGATAGTTGCTAAGCCCCTCCTGCACATCAGCCAGAAACAAGAACTTCTCAGAAGTCACAAATACCAGAAGGATCTCGTCTTCAGAGCCTTGACTTGTGAAACTGGATCAACCAACCCTAGAAACGTCCTTCAATAGTCCCACCATATTATAGGCGCATTTGAAGGACCGATAACCATGATGGCGAACTTATGGCACGCGTGCCACAAGTGGCACATGGAGCCATATCTGTGGGCACGCAAGCGTTGCCCTAGCTCATCTCCAGCATGCATGCGCGTGCCGGCCAGCTGATTTTCAGGCCTTCCAGGCTCACCGGAAGTCGGGAAATGGGCCGTTTCTGGCCTCCGGGATGGGGGAGACTGTTTTTGCCCTCCCCAGCTCCAAAAAAGCCTCTTGAGCCTGGGTAGGGCGAAAAACGGGCCTAATGGGCCCACCTGTAACCTTTTTGCTGTCATGTACCAAAAGCAGGGGGAGCGCAGGGGGGTCACGCGCACATGCGCGGGGGGGACACAAGGGGAGCATTGAATTATGGGTGTGGGCATGCACACGCATGACCCCCCTGTGCTCCCCCTGCTTTTGGCACGTGACAGCAAAAAGGTTAGCCATCACTGACCTATAATAATACTATAATAACCAGCAGAATACCCAAAGTAGTGGCTGAGCTGCAGTTAGCTGCATAGTTGAGTGTCACGAGAAGAAGGAATAACCCTGAGGAAGAGGAGGAAGAGCCACAACCACGACAACACTCAAATGACATATATCTCTCACTGGACAGTGAGCTGGGGCGGCACATCAATTTAATAAATAAAATAATAATTCACACCAGCTGCAGAAAAGCTTAGAAGAAATCTAGATGAGAGCTCAGATCTAATACCATCAGCCCCAATCATACCACCACTGTCACACAAAAACCTGTTTGGGGGCAGAGAGGATTGTTGGTCTTACCTGGGTGTATAAATGTATTTGGGTTCAGGGATTGGTGCATAGTCCCCAAAGAGGAGATCAGCTTTGTCTGCAAAGGGTCCGACCACCTGCCAGAAAGAATAAGGGGAAGTAGAGGAGCTGCTTGCTTTCTCTCAAGGGAACACGAAGATAGTGGCCATCAAGGATTCCGGCATTGACTTTTTCATTGATTCCCCCTCCCCGCTTTTATAAGTGAATTTAACAATCAAACTAAAGTCCACAGTACTTTGTGTATGTTTTAGTTTTGTGAATCAGTATAACCTCTGCTAGTTACAGTGTCATCTTGTAGTCAAGGATCGTTGTTTCTCATGGTCTCTGCTCCTTCCCAGCAGGAAGACGCTGCTACAGGAGCCTTTAAAGAATGTCACCCAAAAAGCAGGACTTCTCAGTCATAGCAGCACCCACTGTTTGAAAAAGCAACCCCAAGACTTAGCCAGTCTGGACCCTCAGCATGACCTCAAAAACCTCCTTCCTTCCTTCCTTCCTTCCTTCCTTCCTTCCTTCCTTCCTTCCTTCCTTCCTTCCTTTCCTCCCTCCCTCCCTCCCTCCCTCCCTCACCCCTGAAACTGACCTGACTGAGACTATTTTGAGGCTTCAGGGCTGCCACAACTGGAGCTGAGGATTAGGGAAGGGGGAGCTGGGGCTTATACTCAAAACAAAATACTTTCTCTTGGGAACCAAGGACATTTCAGCAGATGTTGGGAAGGAGGGGATTGAGGTCACCTAGCAACTGGACTGTATCCTGATTGGACCACGTGAACTGATTGTTTTGAGAAAGTGAAAAACTTCTACTTTTACTTAGGTTAAAACTGCCAGAACGTTTAGAATTGGTTTTCACCAGCCCATGCCAATATGACATATCCAATAAAGCTATTCTTTGAGGAATCTACCTGCCTCGGAGGTTTGCTTGCTGTGGGTGTGTTACTTGGAACCCTCACATTAAACCAACTCTCCTAAACTCCAAGCTCCAACTCCGGGGTCCTGAGCCCTGGCTGCTTACCCGGTCTACCTGGGCAGCAGGAAGACTCAGGGAAGATGGAGGGGAAGACTGAAGAAGCCGCAGGCACTTGTGGAGCTTGCAGAGGAGCCCTAAGAAGCCTACAGACTCTGTTGGAGAACCAACGGGTGGAGGAAATGGTGGCGGAGGTTGTGCGCCAGGTGGGCGCCCGACCTAAAGTCCATACCAAACAACTGGCCACCCGGAGTTCTACTGAGTGGAGGACAACTTCAACTGCCAGGCTGCGTTCCAGGTGCCAGTGAGGGAGTGCCCAATCACCTCAGCGAGGGAGGCAAGAACAATGATCCTCTAGTGGCAGTCAACAGGCCCACTGGACCTCAGTGAATCAGGGGATTGAAGGTACCAGACCACAGCCTGCAGCCAAACCCTAGGGGAGCTACCAGAGAGATTCGGCCAGCTGAGCCTCAGTGGCATCGGGCCCTCGCATCAACCCAAAGAAGTGAGAGTGGTCCTGAGCCAGCCAAATTTCACATTTCCGGCCCAGTCCAGCCCATGATTGTGTCTCCCCAGGTGGGACCAGTCAACCACCATGGTGACCCATGCTGCCAGCCCTCCGCAGCGGAGCCCACCTAGACATTGGAGACCAGCCAGCCTGCTGGAGCAACCCCAACTGCTGCCAGAAGTCAAACTGGACAATTTGGACGACGTTTGCTCAGTCATGTTCACGGATGTGTCAATCCATGGGTGAAATACAGCAGTTTCTAACAGATTCTGGAGAACCGGTAGCGGAAATTTTGAGTAGTTTGAAGAACCAGCAAATACCACCTCTGGCTGGCCCTAGAGTGGGATGGGAATGGAGATTTTGAAAAATCCTTCCCCCTGGAGTGGAGAGGGAATGGAGGTTTTGCAGTATCCTTCCCCTGCCATGCCCACCAAGCCACACCACACCCACTGAGCCACGCCCACAGAACCAGTAGTAAAAAAAATTGGATTTCACCACTGTGTCAATCTCCCCATGAATATGTCCCAGGAGGGAATGTCCATCGTTACTGCAAACTTATCAGGAACAGGTTGATTTTGCAAGTGCCCCTCGGTGAACACTTACCGCAATGGTCTTGCGCAACAGATATTCCTCCTTAAAAGGCAGCATTTCGTTCCGGTTTTTCAGCAAAACAAAGCTCTGGAGGGCAGCTTGGAGGGCCAGACTGCGGTGGGCTTCTGACTGTACAACCTCAACCCCCAGGGCATTATAGGGGTTCATGGCTGGTGGGTCAAATTCTCCCAGGCGTAGACGAGTGAGGAAAAGGGGACGGACACGATCCCGGATTGTCTACAGAAAGTAGGGAGAAGCAGGATGTCTTCAATAAACTACAATGGAACACTGGCTCTATCCTTTTAAAATCCCTTGGCAATTGCAATTTTACCTTAACTGGGGTTGATGACTTCTATGATAGGGAAAGGTTCTATATACAGTATTTAGGATCTAGTTTTTTACAAGGTCTTTTTAGGTTCAAATATTTTGTGGACAATGGGACGCAGTGGCTCAATGGCTAAGATGCTGAGCTTGTCGATCGAAAGGTCGGCAGTTCAGCAGTTCGAATCCCTAGTGCCGCGTAATGGGGTGAGCTCCCGTTACTTGTCCCAGCTTCTGCCAACCTAGCAGTTCGAAAGCACCTAAAAAATGCAAGTAGAAAAATAGGGACCACCTTTGGTGGAAAGGAACAGCGTTCCATGAGCCTTTGGTATTTAGTCATGCCAGCCACATGACCACGGAGACGTCTTCGGACAGCACTGGCTCTTTTGCTTTGAAACGGAGATGAGCACCACCCCCTAGAGTCAGGAATGACTAACACATATGTGCCAGGGGAACCTTTACCTTTACCTTATTTTATGGACAAATATACCTTATTGCCTACTTTACCTTTTGGGTAGCTCGTTTCTTGTCTGTTTATCGTCTGTCTTTTTTCTCTTTTTTTGTGCTTTTTCAGTGTTTTGTGTACCCCTGTCCATGTGCTTTTTATATTATCCATCCAATCAGTTAATGTGGTGGAAGAGGGGATGTCTTGAGGGATCTCAAGCATGGACAAATATTTGATCCCTGTGGTCACTTTAAAAAGGGTAAAAGTCTTTGTGTACCACATTATTGTAGTGTTGTGGCACACCAGCAGCCAGCAGAGCTGGCAGCAGAGTCGGACAGTGAGGAGGTTGGGGAGGAACATGGGCCAGTCCTGGAGGCTGGGGAAAGTTCGGACGAGGGCTCTGAATCAAAGGCAGAGGGGAGCTAGGCAGCAGTGAGGCAGAAAAACAGCTGAAGCCTGTTCTCAGTGTGCGCATGCGCAGGGCTGCCAGAAGACAACTCAGAAAGCAGGGTCAATTTGGGAGTAAAGCCACACTTTGGAGATGATTGGCCCCTCCCATAGGAAACAAAAGAGGAGCAAACGGGGAGGGGGCTTTTGCAGGAAACAATTTGTTTCTTTGTTCGTTTCAAGAGTGGAAAGTTCTGTTTGTGACTCTAAGAGACTCTGTGCCAAGTTTTGTCTTGTACTGCATTTGGAAACAAGTTACATGGCAGCTTGCCAAGCGAGATAAGGTCTGTGTTGATAAATATTCCTTTGAAAAACTGTTTGGACAAGCCTTGCTGACTGTGCATGAAAGTAATTCACAGTCATGTAAATAAAAGAGGTTTTGCCGGGACCAATTCCTGCTTTTTAAGGGAGCCTAAGTCAGAACATGTAGTCTACTTTAGCAATAAATCAGACCAATCATTCTATCCATAACTTACATAATGTTTTATATCTTTAACATCTTTAAGTAAAGGAGTTACTTTTCTACCAGCATTTATATATCTTAAAATGACTCCACACATTTTCCTATTGTATCTCATCAAGAGACACAAATTTATTTCCCTTCTTTGTTGTGGGGGTTTCATCTTTTGTTTTGGCCACTGATGCGTAACTTGCAATCATTCATTCCATTTCTCCTATTATGCATTACTTTGGATACTCCCTGTTGCATTGTACAGTCTAACATTCACTGCAAGTCAGTCCAGTTCTTAGCCAAAACCCATGGCATCATCTGAATTAAAACTGTACTTAACATGCATACCCTCTGTCGGCAAACTCTTGTTCATTAACACAAGCCTTCCTTTTCATCGCATCTACTGCTTTTCCCATGCCATTCCGCAAACCTCGCATTGCACAGTTTCAGTGGTGCTCTTCTCCCTTGTTCCAAGCAGTTTCCACTTTTTCTTTCCTTAATGCCACTTTCCCTTCATTCAACAGGGAGGCTGAGCTACCTTCTAATACTTTTAATTAGGGACTTGTACTCTCTCTTGTTCCAGAAAATTACATTTTCTATTGGTTCCTTTTTCTTTTTTCTTCTACGTTTATTTTCCTCCAAGAACCACTTTTAAAGAAGTTCTCAACTTACATTTCCCCCAAGAACATGTATAGATAGTCTTCAGCTTATGACCACAATTGCAACTTTGCAACAGCAAAGATGATCTTGTCCTCTGTTGATAAATTTCCAATTGAAGAGGAGTCTAGCTTTTTCCATGACACTCAAACACATTAAATGCTCACATTAAAACAAAACCTCCCTACTTTGTAATATGAATCCATCGTTGTGGAATCCGAGTTAGCCTTTCTCCTTCAAGGAGATGCTCCTTAGAGCCCTGTTGCTGAGCTACAACTCCCAGCAATCCCATTTAGTAATAATTCATTGCAATGGATGCTGGAAGTTGTAGTTTAGCAACATTTGGAAGAGTCCAGTGTTCCCTGTTTCTCTTCACTCTTTTGGAAAAGAGAGAGCATCACATTCCGACTTGTCTGCTCTGGAATTGGTGGCATTTTCTTCTACTGCAAGGAGGTGAGCCACTTACTTCCACAGAAATGTTGCCCTTGCTAAGGGCTTCGGCTATGTACATGTAAACATTGTCCTTCATCCCAAAAGAAAGCTCTAGATTACATCCGGCATTCACAGCCACTGCAGGGAGAAAGAAGGATGACACAGTTAATCCAAAAAGTCAGTGAAACCTTGGCTTCAATTCATGTTTACCCGCAAGTCATGGTTTGGCTATCTCTTTGAGGAGACAGATAGTCTAGCAATAGTATATCATCCTTAGCAAGTGAATAGCAAGAGCACGTAGACTTATATACCGCTTCACAGTGCTTTACAGCTCTCTCTAAGTGGTTTACAGAGTCAGCCTATTGCCCCCAACAACCTGGGTCCTCATTAAAACCACCTTGGAAGGATGGAAGGCCGAGTCAACCTTGAGCCAGTCAGGATCAAACTGCTGAACTTCCGGCAGTCGGTGTCGACTCGCAAAGCATCCCTGGCCTGCTCTTGAATTGCCATAAGCAAGGATGGGGATGGGAAACCGACAAAATGGCACGGCAGCCAAAGACACATGCACATTCCAGACTTATCTCTCTCAAGGCCGTATCTCAGGGTTACCCACAGTGGCCGGAGGGGAGTGGGCTCTACAACCCGTGAAATTGTTCCATTGGCAAATGTGATTGATGACACACCCTGGGGGAAGTGGGGGGAGGAGGGAAACAGGGTTATGATTGGGTGTAAATTACATCAGTTGGGAATGTGCCGACATGAAGCTCCTAATAAATAACTGGATTTCTTTTGAAGCTTGGCTCTAGGCTCATGATTTAATTAGGGCATCCGAACTGGTGCGAACCGGTAGCATTTCACCCCTGCCACTGGATAGAGGAAATCTTTACCTTTATATGTGCTAATTACAAACAAAGAGTTTTTGGTGGATGTGGGAGAGAAAACAGTGCTTGGATGATGAAAGTAAGGACAGATGGAAGCAAATCTGGGCTCCAGGCTAGAAGGTTAGCCTCAGAGCACGGACTCCCGGAACTCAATCTGCAACTGAAGCTGGGTTGCAAAGGGCTTCCAGATGAGAAGAGAGGTGCATTGCAACACTCACCAATGGCAGTCTCCAGGAAACTGTGCGTGTAGCGGTGCCCAGCCATGATCAGCTCCACAGCACCTTCATCGCTCACTACATAACCCTGGAAGCCCCATTCATCACGCAGGATGTCTGTCAGCAGCTTCTTGTTAGCACAGGCTGGGACGCCATTAATTCTGCCAGAGGAACCAAAGATGGTTAGCAGACTTACAAGCGTGACTTCTATGGGGCCATGGCTTCTGGTCTTCCTGACTGGACAAGAGCCAGTTTGGTCTGGTGGTTCAGGCACGAGGAAAAAAGCAAGAGGCTGTGAGTTCTAGTCCCGCCTTCGCTATGAAAGTCAACTGGGTGACTTTGGGCCAATCACCAGGAGACAGAGAGGTTCTAGTCCCGCCTTAGCCATGAAAGCCAGCTGGATGACTTTGAACCACTCTCTCTCAGCCCAACTGACCTCACAGGGTTGTTGTGGGTAAAATAGGGGGAAGTTTTGTTGCATCAAGTTATTTTTTTTTTTAATTTGATTTATATGCCGCCCTTCTCCGGAGACTCAGGGCGGCTTACAATGCGCTAAGCAATAGCCTTCATTCTTTTGTATATTTATACAAAGTCAGCTTATTGCCCCCACAACTGGGTCCTCAATTTTACCTACCTTAGAAAGGATGGAAGGCTGAGTCAGCCTTGAGCCTGGGGAGATTCGAACCTGCAGTAATTGCAGGCAGCTGTTCTTAATAACAGGGTGCTTTAGACCACTGTACTACCAAGGCTCCTACTTTGTAGAAGTAATACAGGCAGGATATAAAATAAACAAATACAATAAAATAAAATAAATAAAATAAAATAAAAAATAAAAAAGAATAAAATATAAAATAATAATACAATACAATACAATACAATACAATACAATGCAATACAATACAATACAATGCAATAATATAATATAATACCTGTTATAGCTGCACATGAAGCTGAATGTCCCAGCCCGTACGCAGGCTTCAAACTGAGGCAGGAAAGTCATGCGCCAATCACGTTCCTCCACCTGTCACAAAACACACCACCATGTTGTGTTGTGTGTTTGTTGCCAGCCCATTCAACACAGCTTGTGAAACTCCTCCCAAATCAGTTCTGTCTTCTGTCCTTTTATTATAAGTTTGTGTTGGCAAACCTATGGAATGTGTGCCTGAAGCGGCATGCAGAACCATCCCGTGAGGGACACGTGGTCTCGCTGGCTACTCTTCCACATTCCTGTGCACACATGTGCGCCGGTCAGCTGGCCTTCGCATGTGCGGGAGTGCTGAAACCCAGAAGAGCAGCGTTCCGGCACGCATGTGCACGCTGACACCCAAACCTCCAGGTTTACGTTGTGCACATGTGCGACAGCCAGCTGTTTGTCAGGCATGTGTCTGCACAGGAAACCGGAAGTTCGGGTGCCGGTGCGTGCACGCACGATGGAATGCTGCTCTTCGGGTTTTGCCGCTCCCGCACGTGCGAAGGCCAGCAAGGCCGTGTGGTCCAGGCGGGATGGTTTTGTGCAGTAGTGAAATGTAAAATTTGTTACTACCGGTTCTGTGGGAGTGGCTTGGTGGTAAAAAAAAAAAAAGTTGGCCACGCCCACTCAGTCACATTACCCCATGTGACTGAGTGGGCGTGGCCAACTTTTTTTTTTTTTACTTTTAAAACCATTTTTTTCTACAACCTCTTTGGTGGAAGAGGCTGTAAAAAAATGCTTTTAAAAGCCTCTTATGATCCCAGCTGATCGTCAGAGGCTTTTTTTTTCTTTTAAGTTTCTGATGATCCCAGCTGAGCCACACGATCATCAGAGCTGAAGCAGCTTCTTGGATGAGAAGCGAAACGTCTTCAAAGAAAAAAAAAAACAGAAAGTCCAGTTTCCACCTTTGGGCCAGAACTTAAAACATATGGTTGAGGGTTCATTTCATATGTGTTAATAGGAGTTATTAGGAGTCAATGGTTGATCAGATTCCCACAACACCCATACGTGAAGGAGAATCAGGAATGACCAATTTCAAGGCATTTGGGATGATGCCATTTCAGCCACACCAGAAACAGTTACGGTAGCGGCTAAAATTGTGGAAACCTTTTGGGAAAAGTGTATTTTTGAGGTTTGATGGCTAATAACACCACTTTTTTTTTGAGTCGTACCATAAAATTATATATCAATGGAAAGATAATTTAATCAAGAATGTAATGCAACAAAGTTTGTTCAATTATCTGTATTCTATGAAAGGTTATAGCCAAATAACCAGAAAAAGGAATCACAACCTGCTCAGGTTGATATCCAGTAGCTTTCCTTCATCTGATTGTAGACAATGAGCATGAGTTTTTAGAGAGCCAATCAGGTGTCCTCTTGTTTTGGCAATGAGCCAATCAGATCACAGGAGGATTCGTTTATTGGTGTCAGGTATTGAAGCTGAGAAGGAGGACATTTGTCAGTGTGTCATGTGATCGCTATCAAGTTGGTTGGGGTTTTTTTTGTGTTCTTTCATTTAGTGAGCTTGTAAAACGTAATAAAATTAAAGTAATGGTGCAAAGAGGTGACTGGTCGCCCAGAAAGTGATGTCAAATAGTATTATTAAGCGAACAAGGCTACAGTTATAAAGAAATTAGAAGAAAAACTGGTGGAAACTTAACCAAAGGTGTCATTTCTAAGTTTTCGAAGAGGTATAAGGAGACTCGGTCACTACAAAACCACACGGGTAAAGGCAGGAAAAGGTGCACAACAGCAAGTGATGCCAGAAGAATTAAGAGACTGGGCCTAACTGACAGAAGGAAATCATCTGGGTGTATACAAGATGAAATGGCGCAATGCAATGTGAAGTTGAGTGTTAAGGACTGTTCGGTGCAGACAGCAGGAGTTTGGCCTGAAATCTAGAATCCCATGAAAAAAGCCACTTTTATCTCTCAAACGAAAGTTGAATTAAATTTATCTTTCCATTGATATATAATTTGATGGTACGACTCCCCCCAAAAAAGTGGTGTTATTAGCCATCAAACCTCAAAAATACACTTTTCCCAAAAGGTTTCCACAATTTTGGCCACTACTGTAGCTAACTTCCTTAGATATTGAACTATAACATCTATTGCAACTCTATGATGCCGTATTATATTTAGCCTAATTTAATATTTTACCTCATCTATTGCATTTGTGTTTGTATGTGTAGTGTGTTTCATTAGTGTTGTATAATATCCGTGATTGCATGGCCCTTGGGAGATGCCATATACTATCTTAAATAAATAAATAAATTCTCTTGTGCTGTTCTTGCTTTGACGGTTGCAAGAAACTAGGCGGTTGGGATGAAAATAAATGAGATGGAGAAGCTGGCTGGAAGGAGGTGCTCAACTCCAAAATCCACCTGGACAGAAAGTCCATCTCTGGTCCTCTTTCACTGACCTTGGCATCAAATAAAAACCGGGATACAGGGATATTCTCAGGACCCCCATGGACATCAAAATGCTTGCAGCCAGCATTAGCTTTGACGTAACGGGGATGGTCACCCTGAAGTCCCTTCACAAATGCAACTCCCAGCTGGGTGGTCAAGAATGGGTCCTCTCCATAAGTCTCCTAAGAGTGGGAAAAGAAGCAAGCTGGTCAGCTCAACCCTATTCTTCCCCCACCCCGTTTTTATTTCAGTTGATGACAAGCGTAAAATGAGACCAATCTGGCCAAGAAATGAAAAGAATTACAAAGAAGCACCAAAACAATGAAATTCTGAAATGGTGTATAATATAGCTAGATATTAATACTGTTAACCTTAAACCTACAGTCTAAAATGAAATGCAGAATATTATTAGCTGTCAACCTGTAAAATTAAAGTTGACGCCCATGATCAAAAGCCCTTGATCATCAAGACACTCATTTCTACTTCTGGTTACTCCCATTTCTGGGAGTAAGATCCTAGCAGTTCCTTGGGTCTTCCTTAAATTTCTACAGGTCAAACTATCTCAAGATTTGCTTTAACCTAATTTTAGGAACTCCTTTTTCAGCTCAGGTGACTCTGATGGTCAAGACTAGGAATATTTGTAACCTTTAGTGTAATCCCTGTTGAGATAAGATAAGGTAACCTTTATTGTAATTTTTTTACTGTGAGCGCACTGGCACGCATTAAAAATGAAATTCTATATACATTCTACACACAGTACATACATACATACATACATACATATATAGCGTGTGTGTTATGTGTCACACATATACACACATATGTTCGCCCTTACAGATATATACATACCGTATTTTTTGGAGTATAAGACGCACCTACCTTTTTTGGTGAGGAAAACAAGAAAAAGCAATCTGCCTCTGCCTCCCAGCAATTTTGCCTCCTTGCAGCAAACTGCAAATAGCCTGCTTTACTTTCATTTTCGTTTTCAGCATAGCTTGATTAGCACAAGGGAAAAAAAAAATCTGCTCCAGCAATTTACCTCCTTGTAGCAAGCAGCAGAGGCCAGGACAAAACAACTGACAGCAAAACAGCTGAGAGTCGGGAGGCCGATCCAATCAACTTGTGCTAATTAGGCTGTGCTGAAACTAAAAGGAGCTGTTTCTTCTTGCTGCTTGCTGCAAGGAGGTAAACTGCTGGGAGGCAGAGGCCAAAGGGTGGGGGCCAGTGGGTGGGCGGGGCTACATTCGGTGTATAAGACGCACCTAAATTTTCACCCCCTTTTAGGGGGGAAAAAGGTGCGTCTTATACTCTAAAAAATACGATATATGTATATTAATCAGTGTTCATTCTGACACGTAGTGCAAAAACGAAACTTGAGACTTCACCAGGTTGATGCCATATGGAACAAAACTGTGACTAAATCTAGACATTCTGTTTCAGATACGACCGAACCTCTCCCAGAAGGTAACCAGGAGATCTTGATCTTGAGATTCAAGGTTCTTCACAACCTTGGAGACACTCAGCCATAGTTGCATTTCAGAAGACTATTCTTGTAACAATTAAAAGTCTCTTGACATGTTTTCCCTGATCTTCCAGGTCTGATGGACCTCAATCCTTACCCTCCCCATTCATGTTCCTAAATCTTTGATACCTGGTTCCTGCCCCAGAGTGGGTGCCGCATGATGTTCAAGACTGGGCTGAAACAGCTTAAGCCGGTATGGTCGTTGTAGTAGCCTACGGAGTCAAAATAGTTGTGCTTGGCACGGACCTCAGTGGCTGTAGCATTGGCCACTTCGAAGATGAGTTGAGGGCTATTGGAAGACATAAGGAGAGTTGAAGAGAATAGGAGTCTGTATTGTCATGAAATGAGGTCACGCCAAACACGCATGCCATGCTAGGCCGTCATTCTTTACAGGTGGGAGTCTCAGTTCTCTGCAGGACCAAGATAAGAGGCTTCCAGAGGACGCCCCAACTATGTATTTTGTGTCAATGACACAGGGGTGAAATTAAAAATTTCCCCCTACTGGTTCTGTGGGCGTGGCTTATTTGGGGGGGAGGTCATGTGACTGGGTGGGCGTGGCCAACTTGACATCACTCACTCACATCGAGGGGCTCCTCACTGGCCCCTCCCCTCCCAGCCACTCCTTATCGCAAATGGCAGGAAAATGGGGAGGGAAATATTCCTGCCTACCATCCTTCCCTGAGTTTATGCTGAGATTGACGAATGGATGACAGGCAGGAAAATCCCCTTCCCCATTTTCCTGCCTTCCACAAAAGCAGCTCCATTTCAGCTGCTCCCCCGTCCCATCCCCCTCCCTCCTGGGGACTACCTTAAAGGGACAGGCTGCAGCAGCTCCATTGTGAATGGAGGAAGAAAAGTTAGCATTCTCTCTGCTGCATTTAACATTGAATTCTGTGGAGAGAGAATGCTAACTTTTCTCCCTCATTCAGAACGGAGCTGCTGCTCCCTTTATGGTTCCCTCCTGGCCCCCTCCCTCCTGGGGACTACCTTAAAAGGGACAGGCTGCAGCAGCTCCGTCCTGAATGGAGGGAAGAAAAGTTAGCATTCTCTCTGCTGCATTTAACATTGAATTCTGTGGAATATCAAGTGGCCGGAAGAGGTGAGCAGCGACCGGCCGGACGTGGGTGGGTGGGACCAAGGAGGGGTAATTGCTACCAGTTTGGCGAATTGATGCCCATAATCCCTAGTGGTTCGCCCGAACCGGTCCGAACCAGTAGGATTTCATTTCACCCCTGTAATGACATCATATGCAGATAGTGTGCAGCACGTTATTTACATGATTTGCATGGGGATGTTAGCTATAGTCAGGATCATAAATGGAAGCTATAGAGAAGATGGAATTGTAATTATTTTCCTTGGCCATGGAAATTAGACTCAGAAATAAGGCGACACTACCTAGATTTTCTTCCAAACCAACAAAGATTTCCTAAAAGTTGTTCTTAGGTTGTTCATAGGTAGATAGTGGAATAGTCTACCTCTGGTGGTTTGGGTTCTCCATCTCTGGAGACTTTGAAGAGGAAGCTGTAGATCTGCCTCTGGTAGGTGGTGTAAATTGTTTTCAGAGTAGACCAGGGTTCAGCAACCTGCGGCTCTGGAGCCACATGTGGCTCTTTCACCCCTCTGCTGCGGCTCCCTGTCACTCAAAATATGCATCACAACAGGCAATGTGCGACACCCACTGGCACGTGATTTATTGAGCTTTTCAACCTTTGGTAGGCCAACCATGGATAAATCCAAGAAAAGTTTCAGAAGAAAACAGATTCAACTACATATGCTAGTTTTGTGGCCGCTCAAGAAATAGTCAGGCACAGGAAGGGTTTTGTGGCTCCCGGTGTTTTCTTTTCTGTGGGAAATGGGTCCAAATGGCTCTTTGAGTGTTTAAGGTTGCAGACCCCTGGAGTAGACAATCCTTGTGGCCCTTCCAACTCTACAATTCCAAAAATGGTAGCAGGTCTTGCAACTCTGGATTCTCAAGATGTCCATGCTAGTAGGCCTGATTGCTGAATATTTAGCAATAATGGGTCACCAAGATTCTAAGTGGGTGAGCTCAGAGACAGAATTGGGGGCAACACTCACATAGCAACTGCTTTGCTGACATTATGGAGATTTTGTCCTCAATTGTGGCCATAAGTCTATGACTACCTGTACATTGACTTAACAGGTAAACTCCTACCTGAAAGAGGCAGCCAAGCCAAGCGCTTGAGGAAAAGATGTTGCCCAGCCTGGTGCCTCTGCATCCCCACGAAGACATTCGGTGTTCCAGTTGTAGGGCGCAATGCCCAAGCGGGCAATAGGTGGGGCCGGTCCATTTTTCAGAGCTCCGCCTCTCGCCATCTGAGAGTAGAAAGCCCATATGGTGAACGGATAACTATGGTCAGGCACTCCTCTGATGTGGTTTGATAGGTGAAGACAAGCAGACTGGGTCTTCCAAAGCCCCGTTGACCATCAATCCCACCAAACCATTCAAGATGCTTCTCGTACCTGCAGGATCATCTCTTCCGGGGTCAGCCTGTTAACCAAATCATCCACTCGCTCCTCCCAAGACAATGTGGGATCCCTGAAGGGGAAGTCCCATCCCCAGCAGAGCCCAGCCAACAGCAACGGGACAGCAAGGCGACAAAAAGCCATCATTTTGTCTGCAATGGAGAAAATAGCAATAGCAATTCGAATTATATATCGTATTTTTCGGAGTTTAAGACGCACCGGAGTATAAATCGCACCTTAGTTTTTGGGGAGGAAAATAAGAAAAAAGCTGATTGGCAGGTGGATTGGCCTCCCAGAATACCCCCAATCAGCTGTTCCCAGAGGTGAATTTTAGCAACAGGTTCCTTGGTTGTGAGCTCTGTGCCTTGCTTTTTTTTGTTTTTTTTCCTGCCTCTGAAAGCCTTTGAAACAGCTTCAGAAAAAAAGCCTCTGAAGCTCTGTTTGGGGGCTTTTTTTTCTGAAGCTCTGTTTGCGTTTTTTTTTCTTCTGAAGCTTCATTTCTGATGCTTTTTTCACCCTCTATAACCTCTGTTTGAGAAACCGGGTGGGGCTACATTCGGAGTATAAGATGCACCCAGATTTTCACCCTCTTTTTGGGGGGGGAAAGGTGCATCTTATATTCCGAAAAATACGGTACCGCTTCATTTTGCTTTAGAGCCCTCTCTAAGCAGTTTACAGAGTCAGCATATTGCCCCCAAAAACAATCTGGGTCCTCATTTTACTGGCTTCAGAAGGATGGAAAACTGAGTCAACCTTGAGCTGGTGAGGATCGAACTCCTGGCAGCGAGCAGTGAGCTGAATTAGCCTGCAATACTGCACTTTAACCAGTGCGCCATCACAGCTCAACGCGTGGTGAGTTTGTGGTGTAGGAGAACATGCCTTTGAGATGAGTTTTCATCCAGATAGGATTTTGTTTTTTTTGTTGCATATCTTGGAAGTGGTTTAATGTTCCGTCTTCCAAGATGTTCTTCCTATTTTCCATTCCAGCCCCCACCCCGATAATCCCATCTAAGAACTAGTTTCTACAGGAAACTTCACAAAAGTCTACAGATCTTCATCCTGGAATGAGTCTTTAATGGTTTATTAAGAAAAGCCCAAGGGAAAACGTGGGAATCCAACCTCCTAAAGGGGTGCTCATGTATGGACCTCCAGGAAAAAGGAAAGACTCTCTTGGCCAGAGCTTGTGCTGCCCAGACAAAGGCTACATTCTTGAAACTAGCTGGTCCACAACTGGTGCAGATGTTTATTGGTGACGGAGCAAAGTTGGTCCGAGATGCCTTTGCATTGGCCAAGGAGAAAGCACCTTCTATCATCTTTATCGATGAACTTGATGCCATTGGCACAAAGAGATTTGACAGTGAAAAAGCTGGTGATCGTGAAGTACACAGGACCATGTTGGAATTGCTTAATCAGCTTGATGAGTTTCAACCAAACACACAAGTCAAGGTGATTGCTGCAACCAATCATGTTGATATCCTAGATCAGTGATGGCTAACCTTTTTGCTGTCACGTGCCAAAAGCGGGGGGAACAAGGGGGGTCGTGCCCACGCCCGTGCGTGCCCACATCCATAATTCAGTGTGCCCTCCTGGTGCACACATGCGCGACACCCGTGCGCTCCCGCTTTTGGCATGCAATGGCACGGTAGGCCTGTTAGGCCCATTTTTCGTTCTCCCCAGGCTCCAGAGCCTTTCTAGGAACCTGGGGAGGGCGAAAATGGCCTTCCCCACCCCACTGGAGGCCCTCCGGAGGCTGGAAACAGCCTTTTTCCTGACTTCCAGTGGGCCCAGAAGGCCCGAAAATCAGCTGGCAGGCATGTACATGCGTGACGAAGCTCAGCTAGGGCAATGCTCGCGTGCCCACTGATATGGCTTTGCGTGCCACCTGTGGCACACGTGCCATAGGTTCACCATCACAGTCCCAGATTCTGCTTCGCTACAGGACGGTTAGACCGCAAGATTGAATTCCCAATGCCCAGTGAAGAGGCCAGAGCCAGGATTATGCAGATCCATTCACGCAAAATGAATGTCAGTCCTGATGTGAATTACGAAGAGCTGGCATGATGCACAGATGACTTCAATTGTGCACAGTGCAAGACTGTGTGTGTGGAAGTGGGAATGATTGCCCTTCATCACGGAGCAATGGAACTTACCCATAAAGATTACATGGAAGGAATTTTGGAGGTGCAGGCCAAAAAAAAGCCAATTTGCAATATTATGCCTATTTTTTGCTCCTAAATTGGATATTAAAGCCTTGATACAAAAAGTTATTTGTAACTTTTGCAACTGAATTCATTGTGTGAACTCCTTTCACTTATGAAAAAAATAAATTAATAAAAAATGTTTCCTTTGAAAAAGAAAAGAAAAGCCCAAGGGAGAGTCAAGAGCAGCTGCATTAATTCTGGATAGAGCGGCTGAATTCATCCATCCTATCCTTGCTCATACAATTCAAAACCAGCTTTTGTTTCTCCACAGCTCATTGAATTAACCACAAATGAATGGCTCTGCACATTAAACCATGAACTGACTTACAAACGGAGTCACTGGTTCGCAATCCTGCTAAGCCAAAATTAAACCAACATGATAACTCAATCCACAGTGTGATCTCAACTCATTATACTAACTATGACAAAATGACATAGCGTACAGTCAACCATAATGGGTTTTGATATGACCCTGATATGTGAATCCAGGCACTGTGATCTATTCAACAAACTACACCTCACTACAATTTATGACCCCAGCCAAGAGTCACAAAGAGACTGCAGAAAATCACCAAGGCACAATATTTGATATTCTGGTGGAGTGAGCTGGGTTCAAATCCAAGCTTGGATGTGGGGGTCAATGGCAGTCAATCCCACTGGGGAAGGGGGACACAAGGATGGAGGAATCATGTATTCCACCCAAGTTCTTTAGAAAAAAGAAGAAGAAGGAAGCATTGCAACAATGTGGATTCATAGCAACTGATATCAAGATTCATTTACTGGTGAGTCCATAGGCCAGTCCTATGCCAGATTGGAGACCCCTGGACTAAGATGGACATTTTGTGCTGATCCACGTGATGCCTAATCCCATAAAAAGCCTTCCCAAAAGTTAAAACAGGCTGACTGTGAATGTTTTGAAACCGGAGATTTTGATTTTCACCCCGTTGGTAGCCTTCCTGTTGCCCTCCTGAAAGTCAAGCTTTGATGATCAAAGGGAAAAGCAACTTAGAGATGCACACCTGTCTTCTGGGCAACCATAGGAATCTGTTAAGAATGTGGTTTTTCTGTGATGCTTTCACTCCTTCACACTCCAGTTTGCGGTCCTCAGCACGATCTAAGCTTTAGACTAGACTAGAGTGGAATAGGAATAGGAATAGGAATAGGAATAGGAATAGGAATAGGAATAGGAATAGGAATAGGAATAGGAATAGGAATAGAATAAGAATAGAAGTAGAATTAGAATCTTTATTTGGAATAGAATAGAATAGAATAGAATAGAATAGAATAGAATAGAATAGAATAGAATAGAATAGAATTAGAGTAGAGTAGAGTAGAGTAGAGTAGAGTAGAGTAGAGTAGAGTAGAGTAGAATAGAATTCTTTATTGGCCAAGTATGATTAGACACACAAGGAATTTGTCTTTGGGGCATACGCTCTCGGTGTACATAAAAGACAAGATACACTCATCAAGAATCACAAGGCACAACACTTAATGATAGTCATAGGGAACAAATAAGCAATCAAATCATATTAGGAAACACTCAATATAAATTATAAGGATACCAGCAACAAAGTTACAGCCATACAGTCATAAGTGGGAGGAGGTGGGTGATGGGTTAATGTGGTTTTATAGTGCAACACCTGGATTACTTCCTACCTGTCACCCTCCAGAGGCAGCAGAACAAGACACTTCTCAGCTAGGCAGCCAACTGTCTGGTTGGACACCAGCGCCTTTTCTGCTTTGGTTTTCGGGTTCCAAGGCTGGGATTGCGCCCCGCCCCCACATCCCCAATCGGAGGCGCGTTTCTCCAGGGTTTTTCCCTCTTCGCGAACCCAGCGGTGCCCGACCTGGTTCGGTGCTCTCCAGCCACGGAAAGTAACCACCCCAAGTTGGTTAAGGGTCGCTGATGGAGAGAGGGCGAAACAGGTCGCTGCTCTCTCTCTCTCTCTCTCTATATATATATATCCCCCCCCCACACACACGCTACCTTTCCCCCTTTTACCTTCTCCCGCGATCCCTCCGTCCAGCCGCTTCTGCACCCGGCTGCGTCTGCCCGCATCTGTTGCAAGCGCGGCGTTGTTGCACAACGGCGATCACGAGGCGGCTTCCCCGCCTCTGCAGCCCCGGAGGCTTGCGGGGAAAAGCTGAGAACTGCAGACAGGCCGCGGAGGAGCTCCTTCCCGGCTGACTCTTTTATGCTTACCAAGCTTTAGCAGCCCAAGCTGCTCCTTCCTCAGCAACTTCGGGGCCTCTCGCTTCGGCACACCAGGAAGGGCGGGCGTTGGGGGCGGAGGCGGGGTCCCTCCCCCAGCCCTTCCCCTGCTCGGACCAGCTGAGCCAAGTCGCAGGGGAAAGCGCTTGATCGTCCTCCTGGGTCGCCGCCGAACTGCTCTTCCCGGCTTGGCCACTAGAGGGCGAAGACCGGCTCATTCCCCAGCCGGACGCCTGCCCCGTGCATCCTTTAGCCAGGAGTGGGTTCTAATTTTTTTTACTACTGGTTCTGTGGGCGTGGCTTATTTTGTGGGTGTGGCTTGGAGGTCATGTGACTAGGTGGGCGTGGCTAGCCGGTCAGTCTCATTTCTGGAAGGTCCTCGCACTTACGTCCAGTCCTCGCACTTACGACCCAACTCATTTGTTTGCTTTTAACACTGATCAGCTGTAGGGTGGCCCTTTGAAGCCCCCAAGAGTTTAAACAGATTTTTTCCCTCTAGTCATCAGCTGGGACTCAGGAGGCAGCAATAGATTGTGGGTGGGACCAAATAAAAGGTAAGAATAACGTGGGGGTGGGGGGTGGGGGGGAGAACCAGTTCGGTGATGTCATATCGTCAGGGGTCAGCAACCTGTGGCTCCTGAGCCATATGCGGCTCCTTGGGCCCTCTGCTGTAGCTCCCTGACAGGTGATCCCACCACTGGCTGGCCCCATCCCACCCCTCGTCCTCCCCTCCCGGTTACTCCTTGCCTGGCCTGAGAAGGTAAGGGTGATGGTGGGGGATAGAGAAGAGGCCAGGGCTTCAAAATTTTTTTACTACCAGTTCTGTAGGTGTGGCTTGTTGGGTGTGGCAGGGGAAGGATACTGTAAAATTCCCACCCAACTCCAGGGGAAGGATACTGTAAAATCTCCATTCCCACCCCACTCCTGGGGGAAGGTTACTGCAAAATCCCCATTTCCTCCTGATCAGCTGGGAGTTGGGAGGCAGCGAATAGATGGGGGTGGGGCCAGTCAGAATTTTTACTACAGGTTCTCCGAACTACTCAAAATTTCCGTTACCGGTTCTCTAGAACTGGTCAGAACTTGCTGGAACCCACCTCTGGGCCAGGGCAGAGAGATACAGAGAGAGGAGGAGAGAGAGAGAGAGACAGAGACATAGAGAGAGGGGAGGAAGAAGAAAGGGGAGAGAGAGAGATGTCAAAAGTATTTTGTGGTTTTGTGTTTTTTAACAACGGGTTCTCTGTCCTAATGACCGGATTGGTAGGCGTGGCTAGGGGGGTCATGTGACTGGTAGAAGTGAGTGACATCAAGATGGCCACGCCCACCCAGATTTTGTGGCTCCCGGTGTTTTCTTTTCTGTGGGAAATGGGTCCAAATGGCTCTTTGAGTGTTTAAGGTTGCAGACCCCTGCTTTAGCCGGTATCTCGGACAGGTGAGAACAGGTAAAGTTGCTGAGCCCACTCAAGCAGGAAGGTACGTGAAAGCCAGCTCAGCTCTTGCTGATTTCACAGACCCAACAGCACAGTTTTCCTGAGGTGAGGTAAAAGAGGGGTTTGCCCCACCTCTTAAAAAAAACAAAACAATCTAGGAATAATAGTAATAACAACAAAATCGCACAAACTGGTTACAAAGCTAGACACGACCAAGTTGCTAAATTAATCCACTGGTCATTATGTAAAAAATACGACTTGCTTGTAACCAAAAAGTCATGGGAACATAAAATGGAAAAAGTTATAGAAAATGAGAAGGTGAAGATCTTGTGGGACTTTCGAATACAGACGGATCGTCATTTGGAACACAACATGCCAGATATCACAGTTGTAGAAAACTGAAGCATACAATTTATTGATATTGCTGTACCGGGAGATGCCAGAGTTGAAGAAAAAGAACTGGAAAAAAAAATCACAAAATATTGCAACCTGGCCATCGAAACTATGTGATTATGGATGAAACATGTAACAGTGATACCTATTGTCATCGGGGCACTTGGTACCATGTCCAAGAATTTTATAAGATACATCAGCAAATTGCAGCTTCCTGCAATAACACTAGCAGAACAGCAAAAAACTGTGGTACTCGGAACATCATACATCATAAGAAGATACTTGGTCGATACTTAAGACGCTGGCAGCAATCCGTGTCAACCATTAGCACCAGTCAAACATATTTGTGACACATTTTTAAATGTCCAGTTGACTTGAGTTTCATGTTTAATGAAAATAATAATAATAGAATTCAGACTGATAGGCACTTGGTCCACAACACACCTGACATAACAATAGTTGAAAAGAAAAAAGTATGGTTCATTGACATTGCAATACCTGGTGATGCACGGATTGAAGATAAGCAGCAAGAAAAAATCACAAAGTACCGGGATTTGCAAATTGAAGTTGAGCGACTGTGGAAAAAGAAATCGTGTGTTGTCCCGATTGTAATCGGAGCCCTTGGAGCAATACCCAAAGGGCTACCCCGCTATTTAGAAATTCTAAATTTGCCGGACTTGAACATTTTGACTCTACAAAAAACCACCTTACTCGGAACAGCTTATATCCTCCGACGATACCTCAACAGTTCCTAGGTCCTTGGTTAGGACTCGAGCTGCTGAGCTATTAACCAGTCTCAAAGGCAGAGAATCTCACTAAAGATTAAATAATAATAATAATAATAATAATAATAATAATACCTAGGACGTTGGCAGCAACCCATACCAACCATCAGCGCCAGTCAGTAATATTTGTGATACATTTTTAAATGTTCAGTTGACTGAGTTTCATGTTTAATGAATAAAAGTTTATAACAACAATAATAATATTATAAATGCTCATAATAATAATCCAATAATCATAACCCAATAATCATAATAATCATAATCATAACCCAACAACAACAACTAATAAATTAATAATCATAATCATAATCATAATCATAATCATAATCATAATATAATATAATAATAATAATAATCCAGTGTTGGGTTCTTTAAGTGGTCTCAGCCAAGCCATGCCATCTCCTGAGGCTTCTCCTGAGCAGACAAGGGTGGTGAAATAACGGCAGGGCTCCTAATGTGTCGTAACATGGTGTGTTGGCACAAGGAAACTCTCCTGGAAACAAGTTTTTCTGAGAAACCTCAGTACAGCTGCCTTCAGCAGATTGCCTGCCTTTCAGACCTCAAAGAAAGCCTGAGAAATTAAACCAGGCAGGCAAGTCTCTCGGCTTCTGGTGGTTTCTGGAAGCCTTTCTAAGGTCTTAACCAGAGGCCCACCCTGAAAAGGAAGCGGGCGTGAGACACAGTAGTGCAACGGTGTCTTCCATGAGAACGTGATGGAGAATTGCCTACCTGAAAGCTTTTCCTCTGCGGCAATGTTTCTCAACCTTGGTAGCTTGAAGATGGGTGGATTTCAACTCCCAGAATCCCACAGCCAGTGCTGCTGGCTGGGGGATTCTGGGAGTTGAAGTCCACCCATCTTCAAGCTACCAAGGTTGAGAAACACTGCTCTGCGGCTCCATTATCAAAACCACCCAGGCCTTTCCATCGCTTGACCCTGACACCACGAATATGTTCCTGTTTGGCTGGGTTTGGCAACTGACGTCATTGCTGTTCATAGTCCTTGACTTATGACCACAATTGACTCAACATTTGTTGAGTGAGTTTTGCCCCATTTTTATGACCTTTCTTGCCACAGTTGTTAAGTGAATCACTGAGGTTGTTAAGTTAGCAACACGGTTGTTGTGGCCCGTACGCGGCCTGTGTGGCTGTTGGCTGAGTTGGATAGCAAGGAGGCTGGTGTGGTGCTGCGCCAGCAGCCTGTGCAGCTGGCACTCGAGTCGGACAATGAGGCGTCTGGAGAAGATGTGGTGCCAGAGGCGGGGATTCAGCCAGGGCCTTCAGAACCTCCAGAAGCTCCCTTAAGTGAAGAGGAAGAAGAGGAGGAGCCTCTTTTCAATGCACGGGCGCGCAGAGCAGCCAAAAGGCAGGAGTGGCTCCTCAGGAGGAGGTCTCCTCGAGAGTAAGGCTTGGGGCTAATTGGCCATTCCCTTAGCCTATTTAAGGAAGAACGCCGACTGAAGCAATTTGCAGGGAACAACTTCGTTCACTCTCCTTCGCGTCTTGATCTTAGTTCTCTGCAAATTGCTTCTGGGCTTTCTGCCAACCATAGTACGATTACGATTATTTATTCTTTGGATTCTTGTTAAGAAAGTTAATTAACAGCCTTTGTTTTAAAAAGACTGATTTAATTTAGTAAACTAAGGTTTGTACAGACTTTGTGTGTGCTGCATTCTTTGGGGTCCGTAGCTGGGGCAGCACAACGGTGGTTAAATTAATCTGGCTGCCCCACTGACTTTTCTTGTCAGAAGCTTGCAAAAACTGACCATATGACCCTGGGACATTGCAACCATCATAAATATGAGTCAGTTGCAGTGGTGGATTTCAAATTTTTTTATGACTGGTTCTGGGCGTGGCAGGGGAAGGATACTGTAAAATCTCCATTCCCTCCCCACTCCAGGGGAAGGTTACTGCAAAACCCCCATTTCCTCCCAATCAGCTGGGACTCGGGAGGCAGAGAATAGATGGGGGCAGGGTCAGTCAGAATTTTTACTACCAGTTCTCCGAACTACTCAAAATTTCTGCCACCAGTTCTCCAGAACTGGTCAGAACCTGCTGAAACCCACCTCTGGTCAGTTGCCAAGCATCTGAATTTTGATTCATGTGGTCATGGGGATGCTGCAATGGTCATAAGTGTGGAAAGTGTCACTTTTTTCAGTTTCAAAAGGTCACTAAATGAACTGTTGTAAGTCAAAGACTACCTGTAGTTGCTCTACTGGGTGCTCATCTTTCGGTGCCCTCAGGGCGCACAGAGGGGGCTACTTAAGCTTTGTCCTGGTTCCTGTGACACAGGGAGTAAGGGGCTTCAATGAAGCTGCTGACATCATTTGCAGCCATTGTGCCTCTGGCTCTCCTGTCATGCCCTGGGAGAGCTTTCCTG